GATTGTTTTATTTTAACCTTTATTCTATCTTCTAGTGCAGTAGTTCCCGACTGGTGAGCCCGGAACAAATTAAAAATATATCATTAATAAAAAAGCCTTAACCCTTTTCTCGCTATTGTTGTTGCTGCTATTCTACGTAATACAGAGTCGCCTCCCTTTTTAAAAATATGTCTATTAAAAATTATTATTCTACAGCGAGTGATTTCTATCAGAAATGTGTAAACTTATTCATCATCATCAACCACTTCTGCCGTTAAGCGCGGTGGGGAGTTATAATTTGCGATTGAGTGCACGTTGTTGCCATGGCTATTGCCATGCCCTGAAAGCGTAGCGTGTCTTTAATGTTGTTGATCCATTTTTCTGCGGCCTTCCTCTTGCTCTTGTGGCTGATCTTTTGAGATGTATTGCTTGTAATGGTATTTGATCTTGCTGTATTTTAACGAGATGGCCAAAATACTTGATCTGCTGTTTCTCGATGAATCTAGTCTATGGTATCGTTCCCACAATTTGCCTGATAATTACACTATTCGCTTGATCTTGGATGGTTAGTATAGTTAGTAATTAATTTTGTGTAATCTTGTTCTGTATTTGTGGTGCTGCAAATTTATGTCTTGTGCTGATAAAGGCGCTGTAACAGCAGCTTTGTGTTTTAGATAATGTCAAGTTTTACTTTTCGTTTGCTTGATATCCTCTCAAAATAAACAATAAAATAAAAAGATTATGGGGTCCGTGACGGATTTCGAAAATAAGAGGTGCCTGCGGGCTTGGTCTAGCTAAGAACTACTGCTCCACTGTGTCATTCTATCTCTACTTCTTTATTCTGCATTTGCGAGTACCATTCCATCATCTGAAAACTTGTTTACCATTCAGCTTTGAAAACGTATTTGAAAAATGACCTTGAGTTTTAAAAATTTGTGTGTAGTGACCACGAAAGCAAATTTCGCTATCTACTTTTGTGAGATAAGGCCGCTATGTCATGTATATAAGAACACGAACTTCTGTAACAGATTGAAGACAAGGACAGAGTAGTAACTTACAATGAGGTAAATTGTTATAATTTTTGTTGTTGTGATAAGAAAAAAAAAAAGATTTAAAGTAGACAAGATTGGCTTCTCTGCCAAAGGTTCCAGCCAACACAAATCGGACTTGAACAACACAAAAGCCCGCTGCCTGTCGATAGTGTCACAATGAGCACGAAATCCGTAGCTCCAGTGATGATTCCCAGGGATTTTTGCAACCGTAAACCGAACAACGCAGCCCATGAATCGAATCGAATGACTTAACCACGATGCGTGTGAAAAGATCTGATCTGAAGGCAAGAGGTCGCCTAGGAGGAAATGGACTGACGGCATTAAAGACTCTCTTCATCAGTGGTCTCCAACGGGAAGGGGGAGGGGCGTGGGAAGTTCAATAGGGAAAGGGAGAGGGGCGTCAAGCAATTTTTGAAGTTAAAAGCATTTCTGTTTGTAATAATCTTTTAAATATTTTTTTTCAGTTTAATTATCAACAAAATAATAAAGTATTTTTTAAAACTATCTATAAAACAAAAAAGCCTAGGACATTTGTTACTTTTCGTAAGCAGTTTGTATAACGACAGTTAAAAATCTAATTAATATGACAGCACATGCATTTAATTATAGATTAAGAACACATTCTGACCAAAACGTATCTCCATACTGTCTGTTTCCCTGGTTACGGAATATATTGTCCTCTTTTTAATTATATTTTGTTATGTGGGGGTGAGGGAGGTGTAGGTGCTGCAATATACTCAAGGGAGGGGGAACCGGAATAGCTTGGAGATCACTGCTCCACAGCAACAACTCATGACAATGGACATTGCTACCCATGCAACAATAGACTACGAACTGTTCCTCCCACGTTCCTCCTTTTCTCTTGTATATGTTCATGTTTATGTGATAGGATGCTATATCATCTGCAAAATCAAGTTCCTCGTGCATGGTGAATGGAGTCTATCGTATGCCTCTCGATGTCTTGTATACTGTGTTCTTTGGTATCCAATCAATCACAAGGTTGAAAAGGAGGGATGACACAACACATCCCTGTCTTACAACAGTTTACTGGGAAAAATGTGTTTTAATTTGTAATACTGCAGGAAAAGTCTTTATAGAAGAGAACCGTGATGTTGACTATCCTTTCTGGAATTCCATAATGTCATAATATTTTTCAGAGCCTGTCTATGTGGACACTGTCAAAAGCTTTCTCAAAGTCCACAAAATTAATATATATACTTTTCTGCATTCATTGTTTTGTTCTGACAATTACGTAGGGTGAAGTTGTGCTCAGCTGTTCATCTGCCCTTTCTTAATCCTGCTTTTTCCACTCGTGGGCATTTATCTACTCCTTTTTCGAGGCTCATTAAGATCATTTTACAAAAGACTTCGCTTGGTACTTAGAGTAGAATAATTCCCCTCCAATTTTTACAGTCCGTTAAATCTCTTTTTTTAAGGGGGGGGGGGGAGAGGGGGGGGGGGGGATTTGGACACTTACCTGTCTCACTGTTCTTAAGTTTGTTTATTCTTATGAAGTTGAGATGGTAACCATGACTTAATTATATAACTTTGCTTTTACTGCTACACACTCTTTATAAACGGATTGTTGGCGTGGTAAAATCGCATAATTAGGTTGTCATTCTGATGAATAGGTGGTTTGCATGATTTAAAAACAAAAGAAGGTGATCAGTGTGATTTACTACATACCTATGTGATCAGTGTGATTTACCACATACCTATGTGATCAGTGTGATTTACCTCATAGCTATATGATCAGTGTGATTTACCTCATACCTATGTGATCAGTGTGATCTACCACATACCTATGTGATCAGTGTGATTTACCTCATACCTATGTGATCAGTGTGATTTACCTAATACCTATGTGATCAGTGTGATTTACCTCATACCTATGTGATCAGTGTGATCTACCACATACCTATGTGATCAGTGTGATTTACCTCATACCTATGTGATCAGTGTGATTTACCTCATACCTATGTGATCAGTGTGATTTACCACACACCTATGTGATCAGTGTGATTTACTACACACCTATGTGATCAGTGTGATTTATCACATACCTGTGTGGTCAGTGTGATTTACCACACACCTATGTGGTCAGTGTGATTTACCACATACCTATGTGGTCAGTGTGATTTACCACACACCTATGTGGTCAGTGTGATTTACCTCATACCTATGTTTTCAGTGTGATTTACCACACACCTATGTGGTCAGTGTGATTTACCTCATACCTATGTGATCAGTGTGATTTACCTCATACCTATGTGGTCAGTGTGAAATAAATCCCATGACTAGGTGATTAGCTGAAATACAAGTAAATGTAAGAGATTATTATGTTTAAAACACATAAATAGGTGATCAGTGTGATACAAATCACATTTAAAAAAATCGTGGTCGCTAGTATTTTGCACGTTACAGCATAGTAGACTTGATTTCCACACACAACTTTGTGGTTACCGGCATTTACACAAATTAGCTATAAAACACACAGCTATAAAACCGTGATTTACACACATAAATATGCGATCGTTGTGATTTTTACGGATATCAACGGTAACTAAAACCAGTGACATACGAATCACACAACTATCTTAATTTATATCGTCATTGTGGAATAATACAACTTTGATATACATACTTTCTTTCCCCACAGGAAACTTTACGCTTTATGCGTCCCAGCAGTTTTACTGCTCTGGGTGTGTGTCCATGCACAAGGTAAATGGCGAAATTGTAAAATGTTCATGTTGAAATTACAATTTATTGGGCACTCCTCCGAATAACGGCCCTAAATTATCTAGCTCAAAATCGTACCCTTACAGGAACTCAGTGATTAGGATGTAAAATTAGGATTGATTTATTTACAGCAAATATGGCAGGGAGACCATAGGCTCCGACATTGACTAGCAATAATGTTCTACCGATTGATGAACTGGCAGCTGTAGATATTAGACAACCGACTTATTTATATATATATAATTGAATAATAAACGGCAGTGGTTGCAATAGCTTGCTACACACAGAATAATATAATACGAAACACAGTAGAATATTCTTGTTGCAAACGTCTGATGTCGTTGCTTTTGCGATTAGACTGTTGTGACAAATTCTCGTGGCAGTGTTAGGATTAGTGTTAGCCCTAACCCTAACCCCAACCTTAACACCCAAACATGTGAAGAGTTACGGATGCAACTCAAACGGAAGCAACTATTGAGGCCCTGTAAGGATAGGTTTTTGACCTAGATCATTTGGAGACGTTATTCGAAGGAGTGCCATTTATTGTGTTTGGGATGTCCTAGTCACATAACTTATTAGATACATGTATGTACATTCTCCTGAATGTCCAAATTTTCAACCACTTTAACCACACCTACATATTCTCGTTTCTGGATCACTTCCTGTCTAGTATATTACTCCTGAGGATGTTTATTTTAGTATCCAAAAGCCATGAGTTATTAACCCTAAGGCTCGGTATTATGGATATCGCAACCTTTCGGCCTTGATTCCATTGTAAATACCGTAAATCTGGGAGAAATGTGGCTTTCCTGCCTACCCCCGGAATTGAAACCGGACTACAAGGAATTCGTCACCCGGTCTCCGCGCAATACGGTTTAGCCAACTACGCTAGAGAGCCGGGCATTACTCCTGAGAGATGGGTGAGAGAAGCTTCTCTGCTGTTCAATCGCCCTATGCTACTTGCATGCAACATGATACCACCTCTAGCACTCGATGTGGTTCCAAAATCCCGCCTGTCCGCCTTTACCATCCCAAGACATTTCAGCAGCCTGTTTCGACCGTCCTCCAAATTCACACACACATCACACAAAAATTCACAACAGTTGCAAATTCAGGCCCCAGTAATATTGAAACCACATTGCAGTATATTTCAATTACGATGTACAACACGAAGACGTAGCTTTGTCAGAAACGCTGAACCGCGTACATTGAAGACCAACACCTGCAGGAATGCTTCCTTCGAGGGTCATTTTTGACTTTGACTTTAAAAGAAATG